GGGGGGGGGGGGGGGGGGGGGGGGGAAGAGACATACTCCTTATGAACACCATCCAAATTGGGCAGTGGGAAAAGAGGCTCAGTATCCCAGTCTCGTGTATAAAGCGTCCCATCAGCAGTTGCCCTAGTGATGACCTGAAACAATATGGCATCCTTTAAATAGTTAGTACCTCTTAGTACAGAAGGATGGTTATGAGCTTCAAACTATAACGACAACAAAATGCAACAAAGGGAATATTTAATAAGCTCTGTATGTATATATTTTTCTGATCCCATAACAATATAAATGCATGCCCATTATTAAAAGGCATGCATATCTTCAAAAAATCTGAAAAACCTTATTGCCAACAAAACATCAAGAAGAAAGATACAAAAAACTATTTCATCTCAGACCCATTCTCATGATACTCTACATAATGAAAAGGATTTAAAATCTCACATCCAATGGAAGGGTAAATTCACTAAGAAATAGAAACAATAATCAAAATTGCAACGAAAAACCAAAAGTGAGAGAAGATAGTCTACACAAGGCAGCTGAAGATTAGATCATCTAACATACAGAGAGAAATTCAAAAGAAGGCGATTATGTTGGCAAAGTAGGTAGTTTCCTCTTCTTCTTTTTTTTTCATTTTTTCTGACTAGTACTGGCCAAGCCAAAAAATGTAGCTTTATCTTTGGATTTGAAGAAATGACCAGGGGGCAAACTAATGGGGGAAAATATCCTTTTTTAGTCAGGACTAAACCAATCATCGCTACAAAGAGATTATAACATGTTTAATAAAAGAAACATGTGCATTGCTTGATCATAGGCTATAGCAGTGTGCTTACAGCATAAATTTTGGACCTAACCATTCTTGAAATAGCCAAATAAGGACAGCATAGAGTCCAGCACATCAAAAGATAAAGACTTTGGCCAAGGAGATAATTTCCATCCATTCAGCTCCATAAACCAGACAGTTAAATTTGATCACAAGGTTTTCAGGAAATTACGTAGCTAAATTTCACTAGTTTATATACTTATCATCAATATTTCCTTATGGAATTCACAAACTAAATACATAACATATGGAATAAATTGTAAAGCATGAAAATTCAGAAGCATTACAAGGAATATATTAAACAAACTACCGAGCACGAACAAATAAAAAAATAAATATAAGAAGTCACCTAAGATGTTTTACTCATAAGCAAAAAAACCTACTACCATGCAGCCACATTTGTTGCACAGAACAAGCTATTTTCTTGACTTTCAATAAAGGAAATCCTGCAACCAATAATCGGTACAAGACCAGCAAGGAAAGATCGCCAAAATGAATGCAAATACAAAGCAAAAATCAGAATGTCTCATCCGCCCTAAACCATTGGGCCAGCCTAGGCTATAACAATACACATGGTGGTGTAGTTGTACAGCTATTCTGATAACAAAACCATGGTCGGTGAAGCTGTAACTTGTTTATCATATATCAATACATAAAGTATGTTTTTTGTATCAAAAATCAAAACCAAAGAAACATATAGAGTAACATACAACGTTATCTCCCTTTTTTCTGAGGAAAAAATGTGGTTGCCTAAGATCAAAGTTTTTTACATTCCTTTGTTCAGGTTTTATAAGACAAGTAGTTCAAGAACTGCAACAAATAAACATAGTTTTCCACTACAGAAAGTGAAATGTGTGATCCAAGGATATTAAGACTTCAAAGTCAAGCCATATGGAGAAAAGTAGTTTTTACGAAGGCTGTCTATGACATTGTGATGCTTTGTTTGATTTGTTGATAATAGACAGAGGGAAGGAGCAATTGTGAGAGTGAGGAAGAGGTGAGGTAAGGCACACAGCCCATTTTATCTGAAGGCAATCGAAAAAGGACCTCAAACACTTCCTTGCATATCTTGTCCGCATCAAAACATGACAATTCATTCAAATCACAACTCTTTAAATAAAAATGCATAGAACGAAACCAGAATAAAATAGAAAGCCATAGGGCATACCTCCTTCAAGGCAACCTGGCAAGCCACCATTTGTGTGTCATCTTTACAACGAGCCAAAGCCCTTTCCACATAACCCCGCAGGGACTTTGGAAACATACCAGGCTGAAAACAGCAGAAATATCAATGAGTTCAGTATGATATCATTATTCATGAATCCTCCATTCATCCCAGAGAACTAAAATATGACACCACGACAAGTAATACGAAATAGGCTTTTACTATTGGCAAATCTGTGATGAAATCTCCAAAGGAAGGTGTCAAGTAAAATATCTAACAAATAACCAATTAATCAGATTCAGTCAATTTTTATTTTTTTTTATAGAAAACAAACTTTCATTGATTAAATAAAGGTTTACATCGTGGGTGGACAATATATCCAACCAAAAATGAAATTAAATAGGGAATTACATCAAAATAAAGCACACTATGTCATCATAAAAACTCCCCCAACTACATACAGCTATCCAATCAATGGTAAGGAAATAAAAAGGCACATCCTTGAACTGGTTTGCTGTCAAAGCCCACAAGGATGTCAAGTACTTTACTTTATCCCAAAGAAATTCTATCATTTCTTCTCTTTCTTCAAAAATTCTGTTATTTCTTTCCAGCCAAAACCACACATTCCCATAAAACGGATGTTTTACACCCTTTCCCAAACATCCCATAGTTTGTCTTCAAAAGAGAAGAACAACTTCTCGGAACCACCCAACTCAATCCAAACTCCCTCAAGGCTCTAAAGTCTAAACCACAATTTCATCACCTCCAGACAATGAAGGAAAATATGATCTACACGTTCACTAGTTTTCCTACACAAAATACACCAATGTGGAGAGATACAAAATTTTGGTCGTCTTGTTTGCAACACATCACAAGTACTAATCTTTCCAAGAGCCACATTCCAAGGAAAAACCTTAAATTTAAACGGGACTTTACCCTTCCAAATCATCGTATGGGGTTCAAAGGTTGGAACACACTGATCATTAATCAACGTATGAAAGTACGATTTGCAAGAAAAAAACTCCAGAAGATTCGGGAACCCAACTTCTCCAATTTTTTGCAACACATCAGGAGTTCCTCTGTTCATTGAATTTCAGATTCAGTCAAATTCAATGAACAGAGGAACTCGGAGAACACAGCGAGACTTGACATCAGAACTACACCATAGTCCGTAGCAGCTTCATGGCCATCCATTCGACAATACTTTCCACTAGAGAAAAGGGTGCAAATGAACCAAACTGAACCAAGCTATAGGCAGTTCAGGCTCCCCTCACCTACCTCAAGAGGGTTCATCTTTGGTTAATGCTAATGACTAGGTTGATTACTTTTCCACGAGGGCATGAGCTCAAAAACAAAATCATTCTACCACAAAAACAAGAGAATAGACTTGGGGCCAAGGATCAAAATTTCGTTTCGAAGTACCGTTTCGGTCAACTCAAAAATAGAAACGTTTCGGAAACATTTCGGAAACGCAATGGAAACGCAGAAAAAATATGGAAACGCATAGAAACACAAATGCAATCCATTAATTTATAAAGATATGCTAAATAATTTATTAATTCAACATATTTATTAGGTTAACATCAATTTATACAAGAATAAATTTAAATTTGAGGGAAAAAAAGGCTTGACTTGAGGCGAAAGTCACTTAAATTAGTTTCAAACACTTAATTTTTATGAAATAAACACATTTTTACATAATATTAAGGTCTTATAATACACATGAAATGCTAATGAGTACATACTTACATGGTTACATCCATTCCCCTGTGGAGTGTCGAGCA